TAAGCAGGTTCACAGAAGGAAAGTTGCCGAGGGCCTGAGATTCCCCCAGAATGGGCTTGTGGATGCCAGGCTCCTGCTCCCATCTGCAGACAGAGGCCAGGCTGGGGTAGGAGTTTCCAGGCTGCCCCCTGCCCTACACTGCCAATAGCTTGCAGCCCTCCTGCCTCTGCTCCTGACAGTGCCAGGCTGAATAAGCTGGGCCACGGTGACCAGGCAAGGGAGACACACAGAGCCTTATGGGCCATGTACTTCAGCTCATAAGCCCTCCAAGGCAGGAGTGCTCCCTATGCAAAGGGATGCTCTGCTGGGGCATGGCCAGGGGTGCCTGTGCCCACGAGGACACCATGGGACTCAGGCCCATGGCCACTACTTCCTGGTGTCTACAGATTGGCGCCCATGCCCAGAGTCAGCTTCCTGGGTGGGGTCCAGGCTGCATAGCCCCTGTCCCCCCTGGGCAGGTACATCCCTTGTGGCCTCCTGTTCAGGGGATCATTGTGGGGGGAGCTTTATTTTATTCACATCAGCAGCCCCTTTTCTGGAAATGGACTCTGAATATAGTAAGTCCATGAACTAAATGGATTGTTTGAGAAAGTAAAATGGAAAATACGGTATACAGTCTAGGGAAGGAGCTAGTGGGAGTTTTTGACCAAAAACAAGTTGCTGTTGATCATTTTAGGGTTCCACATATAGAAAGGGAAGACACAGGGACCCCATGTGTGGGTTCCCCACAGTCCTCAGCGACTGCAGTCCTAGCAGTGCTGCCTGATTGTGTTTTTGGTGCACTGAACTGGAGATTAAATCAGGAGACATCATCTATCTTACCTGAAGGCCTTGCCATTTTAGTCTGGAAACCTGAGAAGTCATAAATAGGCTTCTCGATGACAACGTAAGCTTAATTTTTCATTTACCTGCAGCTAATAACAGATGGGCAGGCCTTCCTAGCTTCTAGAAACTTAAAGGAAGAGAAAGGGCTTCCCAGTGACAGGATAATTTGTCAGAAAGTTATGAGTGCGTCCAGCAGGGCTGTATAGGAAGTGTATATTGAACAATATGACACACCGGCTCCTAATTGCTGCTGCCTTTCTGATCAATAATACATGTTTTCAAAAAGCCTTCTGTTTGCATTTACACAATGGACTGTAACTACTGCAAAGCATCCATTAAGACCTATTTTTAAAAGTGCATTCGTAAAAAGTTGTCTAAATCTGCATTACAAGGCAGATTATGAAGCTGCCTTGGGAGATGGCTTTTTCTGAGAGGCAGCTCAGGCCACATCTGCCGGCCTGGCCTGCAGCTGAGCTCCTGGCTCAAGGCTGGCACAGAGGCACTAGCTGGTTGGGGCTTCCACTGTGATACACAGGCCCAGAGACGTGCTGTGCACAGAGTCCAGGACACTGCTATTCCCATCCGTATGATTTCAAGGTCACTAGGCGGTCTACCGCTATGCAGACAGCTCTGGGGATCTGGGGCTCTCTACCCCAGCAGGGCTCAAGCCTGGGCCAAGTGAAAGGCAGAAGACAGCTGTTAGCTGTGGCAGCTGGGCCCGTGCTTCCCACACAGGTGTGGTTGTTACCTGGGCAGGTGGGAGGCCCAGAGAAGAGGGAAGTGGGTGGTTTGGGATTAGGGCCACCTGGCTTGCTGTGCTGCCCTAGCAACATCCTCTGGCTTTATACCTCACAGCTGCTGGGTGAACAGTACTAACAAGGGTGGCCCTCCCTGGGGCTCCTTGTGGACTGGCCAGCTTGACCTCAGGCAACTCAGGGAGGAGGGACTTGCCTTCCCACAGAGGCCTCAAAGCTGGTAACTTGCCTAGGTCAGCACCTCACACCACACCTCTCCCCAGCCATCCCCAGGCAGTTTGGACAGAGCCTAGAAAAAGCAGTCTGTGAGGACATCCCCTGCAGTCACCCCGTGCTGCCAAAGCCACCTCAATAGAGCAGATTCCTCCTAGAAAAGGGGGCAAGGAATGAGGAAGTTTAGAGGAGAAACCTGGCTCAGAAGGGACACATGGAAGGTAACTGAGAGACAAGGGGAAGCACAGGTGCCTCTGCCCGACCTCAGGTTCCACGGGGACAGTACCTTCCTAGCTGCTTTCACTGGGGATCTGGGGCTCGACCCAGGCACTCTATCCATCAGCTCTCCTGACATCAGCAACACAAAGGAAAAATGGTGTATCTGGGACTGAGGTTGCAGAGGGTTCCAAGCAAAAGGATACATCATGGTGGAAGGGAATCAAGGAGCAAAGCTGCTTCCCCCAGAGCAGCCCAGATGAAGAGAGAGGGAGGGAGTGCTGGGGCCCATATAGGGTCCTCACAGTCACACCTCCATGATCCACTCCCTTGATTGAAGCCCCACCTCCCAGGAATGTCACCAACCATGATCCCCTGAGCAAACAGTTCCCCTGAAGTGATCAGACCCTTCCCGTCATCATCCAGGCATCTTAACAAAGCTCCATCTCTGAGCTCTCCAGCTTTGGAGACACTGTGGATCCCAACCCTAACAAACCTGGCCACCTCAGGGTCCATATAAGTGCAAATGAGGGTTTTTCTGGCCAGCCTCCCAGCTGCCCCTCCTAAAACCTGGAGGGGGCAAGTATGCTAATGAGGAGGACATATTTGCATATTTGACAAGGGTTGTCCTCTAGGCCAAATAGGGGTGGTGGTTCAAGATTTTCTTCTTGCTGCTCCCCTGAGAGGGGTCCAACAGCAGCAGGGGCAGGGAAGAACCTACCTGACTCACTTCAGCACCCAAAGAAGAGAAACTGAGGCATGAGGCAGTCTGGTACCTCAGCTTCTATGCTTCCCAGCAGCGTCACACCACCTGCAGTAAACACACGCACCCCATCCACACCTCTCTGGGTGGCCTCAGCAACCAGTTCCAGGTCACTGCCTGGCCCCCAAGGCTGTGCTGTGACTGACCCCTACATGTTTCCCAGCCAGGGATCCTGTCCCTGCCCTCAACACCTGGGTGCCTCTGGACACCCATATCAGCCAGCTTGGGGTCCAGCACAGCAACCCTGCCTGCTCCCAGCCACTCCTCCCCACCGCAAGGCTGCACAGAATGTGGGGCCCCAAGAGATGCTCTGCACACTTTGCCTCGCTCCAGGATGCCCTGAGAGCTGCCCACCTCTCATCTTTACAGACAACAAAGGGGAAAAGTGCTTGTCCCCAAGTGGCAGTTGACAAAACTGAGGCTCAGAGGTAGCAATTCATGCAATTGCCTAATTCTAAGGGACAGAACCCATGCTTGGCAGAAGCAGCTCAGGGAACTTCCTCTCCATGGATGTGGTTTCGGAGCTGGGGCTGGGGTTCCTGGCACAGTGCTCCCCTAGTGTGCATCAGATACTGAGTTTCATCCCCAGCACTGCAAAATCAAGAAGCAGAACAACACACATGTGCCCTGCCCAGGCCGGCACATGGAGTGCTGGCCCTGCCACACATGCAAGACCCAACCTGCCCTCTTGATGTTTCCCTCTTTCCAGAAACAGAACCCTACATTTGGGGAAAGCAAGACTCAAGGGATGTGTGCCCAAGACAAAGGCAGTGAGGTGGGCCTCCAGGTAGCACAGGTGCTTACGGCTCCACGCTTGTACAGGAGGGCCTGGCATGGTACCCACTTGTAAGCCAGGTGAGGATGCTCCCTCTTGCTTCCTAGGTTCTGGTCCTGCTCCGAGGCCCCAGGCTGGCAGGCCCAACTTCCCGGCTGCCCTCCACTTGGTGCCCCTCCCACTGCACAGTTCCCTGGGTGCCTATAGGGGTGAGAATATGCACCTGAGCAGGTCTTCGTGTCTGAGCAAGGCCTGTGTGCATACAGCATGTGTGAAGGGGTTCACAAGTAGACCCCCCAGGCCTTCTCTGACGGCAAAGGCAAGACCCCACCTGGGCGCAGAGGCCCTAGGGGCAGAAGAGCCCAGCCAGATGTCAGTCTGCAGGATCAGACAATCCCTGACTAGAGGTCTTCAAACGGAAATAGACCCAGTCCTTTTCTCCCTGCTTCTCCCAGTGGCAGCCCTGGAGGTAACTAGAGTCCCAGTCCTCTCCCTAAACAGGGCTTCCTGGATTCAGGTTGAGGTTTTGGCCAGCTGCCTGTGCCTCCAGACCACCGGAGGGACCCCACGGCCAATTTCAGCTCCTGTGGGCGGACAGCAGGCAGAACAGGGCCCAGGATGCAGGACGGGCTGTCCTGGCTGGCAGGCCTGTGGCCTGTCTGCCCACCATAGGCAGCAAAATGGACATCTCAGCTGGCCCTGGCCCAAGCCGGCTCTCCTGGCAGCCCCTCCTCCCCAGTGACTTCACTTTGACTTCATCTCTGCAGAGCGCTGTGATGTGTGCTGCGCTTACTCAGCCAGCTCTGGGTGAAAGGCGGGGCATTAGGGAAGGGGTCGCCTGCACCTCAGGCCTGGGTCTCCCCACCCCTGCGCCACTAGGCCCGGACCTCCAAGGAGGATCCCGCGCGAAGCGAGAAGCAGAGAGCCCTCCACCGCTGGCCTCGCCCACACATAGACAGCAGGCCCAACGCTTCTTATCTGCATGTTCACAGGCATCAATTGTTTGGGGGAACTTCAAGAGCCCCGCCCTTAGCACCTCCTTAGGCCACAGCTCTTCCCTTGGAGGGAGGTGTGTCCAAGTGGATTCACAGCACAGCCGGCGACCCCGCCCCTCTCTGCTCCGCTGAGAAGCTGCGGGGGATCCGCGCCCCAGCAGTTGAGGATCCGGTCTCTGGGTCCTTTTCGCGCGCGGCAGGAAAGGGTGAGTTGGAACCACAGACTCGGTGAGGAGCGAGAGGGCAGCTGTGTGCAGGGGCGCGGCCGGGCCGCACGGGACCCCCACTGCGGAAGGACCCCCCCCTCCCCGCCAACTACCGGGTCCCAGCTCTCCGCACACACCCCGCAGCCTGGTCCCGCCCGCAGCCCGGCCCCGCCCCTCGCCCCGCCCCGCCCGCTCCTGCGGCGCAGCCCGCGGTCTCAGTCCCGCGGCGCAGCGGTGAGCCCTAACGTCCAGCTGAGAGTGCAGCGCGGGGGAATCCTGGCCGCCGTATCCCGCACCCGGACCCCGCGCCCGGCGTCCGCACCTGGACCGCGCACTCCGCACCCCGAACCCCGCACCCCGCGGCATGGGCCGCCCCGCTTGAACGCCGCTCCCGACCCGCGTCCCCGGCCAGCGCGCGGCGATGGCGAAGGCGACGTCCGGTGCCGTGGGGCTGCGGCTCCTGCTGTTGCTGCCGCTGCTCGGCGAAGGTGAGTCCAAGGCGCTGGACGCAAGGCGCATGGATGAGGGGGCGCACGGACGCCGGCGCTGTGCGCGGCTCTGCGGCGTCCCTGCAGCCCCGGTATCCCGCGGTTCGGGTCTCCTCGCACCTCACACGAGGTGATTTTGCCAATCGGGTCTTAGTCCAGAAGCTGTGATTTCCCGGACGCTTGAGCCGAGTTCCACGCCGGTATTCTTGTGCGGCCCAGGGCTCTGGACCCGCGCGGGCAGGACAGGGTGCGGCCGTCATGTCCCGCACGGGTCTGTTATGAGGTGTGGTCCAGCCAGGCCCGAGCCCTCTAGCGTGACCCCACCTGGAGCGAACCCCAACAGAGCCGAGTCGGATAAGACGAACCGAGTTTCTGGAAGACGGGAGGGACTCTCTGCTCTTCACAAAAGGGCGTCGCTCTGCCCTGTAAAGAAAAGGCCGTTGCCCCCACTGGCCCTTTGCTGCCCACCGCCTAGCAGGGAGAGAGCCAGAGGGGCGCAGTGCAGAGGCGCAGACGAGGACTGTTTATCCCGTGGGACAGGAACGGGTTCTCCAGGGTTTGGGTCTCCGTCACACGATTCCCAGTCATCAAGCAGCAGGCTGGGCAGAGGGCAGAAGCCAGCCGAAGGCTCCCACCTGTGACTGTCCAGCCTGACCAGGGTGGGCCTGTGGCCCGTGTGATACAGAGGTCCTATGCTGGCACCTCCAACCCCCGTCCAACTTCAGCCTCAGAGTGCCTGGTGAGGTTGTGGGTTGCCAGGCGGGGTTCAGCACGCTTGCAGGAATGCAAGTTGCTTCCTGTGGAGACCCCTGACCACAGCGTTGGGGGCCACAAACTGTCTCCCAGTCCAGGGAACGTGAGCCTCTTCCCACGGGAAGACCAAAAAGCCACGATTGGAGGCACTAGTTATGGAGTGGTGGCCCCACCCCACCCAGGAAGAGATAGCAGGTCCCTGCGGGGGGCCGGGGGGCTCTATACCAGGGTCGAAGCTTGGCTCTGAGCGGAGTCCAGACGCGGCTCCCAGGGTGCTCCTGCGCCCTCTAGTGGACGCACTGCTCCGGTGGCCTTTTGCCTAGGGCAGGAAAGGTCTCCTAGGGGAGGGTCTCCCTCAGCTCGTGCTCCACACTCGTGGAGGCATACGGAGCCTCGTGTCCTTCTTTCCTGGGGAGGATGTTCTTGTAGGCCATGGATGCACTGCTCACCTCAACCCGCACACCCTGGAACCCCTGCCCTCTTGGGCACTGCCCAGCCCCGAGTGGCCTGTAACAGGGGACCTCGCCCTGAGAGTGATGTGTGTCTAGGCTCAGCTACCCAGGTGACCCCTTGAGAGTGGGCCAGGGGTTATGGAGCAGGGGGACAGAGAGACAGACACAGAGAGAGGGAGATCCTGCCTTGCCCCCCCACACACACTCCCTCCTCGTTCCCTGGGCAGGGCCTGCACTGGGCAACCCAGCAGACACTTATGGGGCCCCATTGCTAAATTGCCTTTATTCTACAGAATTGCTTTAGGGCCAAGCTAAGTAAATCACTGTTTCCTCGATGGTGGGAGAAAACGGGATGCTTTCACCTAATGGGGCACTAATGGCCTCTTAGTCGAGGGAGGAGAAAAGTAATTAAAAATTACAATGTGTGTTGGAAATGGAACAGGGGTGCTGAGGGAGGAACCTGGAAGCTGTGCTTCCCGGGGAGCTTTCTCCCTCAGCATCATGACGGAGAACCCTGTGTCCCCTGTCTTAGGACAGTGACTAGAACTGTAGTCACCCAAAGGCTCATAGCAAGTGGCCCTAGGCCCTGTGATCTTCCTAGAAGCTCCAGGAGGGCCTTGGCCTCATTTTTGCAACGTACAGACAGGAGGCTGAGGGCTCTCAGAGGTGTGGATTCTGGGCTCCAAGGAGGGACATGGCCCCAAGCCTAACCATCTACGGGCCTGGACCTGCGGACGTCTAGAGAAACACATGGTGCCAGGCCACCACCCAGGTGAGAACCCCTGGGTCTCTCCAATGGCTCTTTAGTGGGTTCCTGGAAGGGCATGTGTGTGAACAGTGTGGCAGGAGGGCATCCCCATGCCTTCCTGGTGTGGGCCTGCGTGTCCCTGGACACCCATGTGGGTTGATGTCAGCTATTGTCTGGCACCCAGCATCTGATTGTGGAACCCCAGGAGGAGAAAAGCAGGCGCTAGCAACTTCCTTCCCTCCTGCAGCTGTGTGGGCACTGTGGGAGCCAGGGGTCCAGCCTGCCTGGGTTGCGGCTCCAGCTCCTCTGCGTCCTGCCGTGCCCTCTACCCCTCATCTTCTTCCCTCTTTCCCAGTTGTTTGCTATGTAAAGAGCTGGACCTGCCACGAACACCCAGGAGAGGTGTACTCACCCCAGCAGGTGACCTCTCACATCTGTGCGACACGTGTTTGATTTGGTTGGGAAGCATAAGACAGGCCGCAGGCAGGGTGTGAGTGGGAACGATGCTGGGAGCCAGGCAGGGAATCCCTGGCAGGTAAGGACAGGGTCGCAGGGTTGCCAGGCCGTGTGGGCTGGAAGTGCTTTGACTGCAGAGCACAGAGTCTGAGATCTGGCCTGGTATCACTGAGGAGGCACTGAGCCCATGGAGCAGGGAAGGAAGTGCCAGGCCAGGTGTTGAGGCCAGGCTCACCCCACTCAACCGCCAAGCCAGGCGGCCCATGCAGGCCTCCCTCCTTCCCACGCTGCTACCTTCAATGCCTAGGCCTCTGTGCCTGAGTTGATCACAGGACAAACTGGGCAGGAGGACAAGAGTGCCATTATGCCAGGAGCCCCTGCTGGCCAGAGCCGGTGCCTTCCTGGCTGGTGTGGCAAATGACACCAGGTGGCACTGAGGGACCTCACACCACCCTCTGAACCCTGAGGAGAGCAGGTGACCAGCCTTGCGTGTGTTCTTGCTGCGTGGGTGGCTGCACCAAACAGTGGCCTAAGTACTGCAAACCAGTCACCTGTGCCCCTGGGCAGGTATGTGCCACAAGGGCCACCTGCAGGCCTCCTATGCGACGCCAGAGAGACCCATGGAACGGGGGTCCATGCAGGCTGAGGTGAGTGGGCTAATATTGGATTTTGCAGACCTCAAGTGCCATGGCTATGTCTGGCCCCAGAACAGAAGGTAGGGGAGACTACACAGTGTTCAGCCTCTACCTCAGAACTGAGGCAGGAGGATCCCACGTTTGAGGACAGATAGTCCAGGCAAAGTATGAGACCCAGTAGCTCCATGGTAGAGCACCTGCCTGGTAGCTGCGAGGCCCAGTGTTCCTTCCCCATTTCTGTTAAAGAAAAAAACAAGAAAACCTTAAATGCCTCTGTACTTGCAGAAAATTCTTACCTTGAGGTTCCAGAAAGGGAAAGAGAAAAAAGTGAAATTTCTTAAATCTAGTAATGACTGGGGAAGTGCTCGAGAAGAGGTGCATGCTGGTCTCGGGACCTTGGGGTGAGCTGAGTGGAGCACACAGGATGGGCATGGGGTGCAGGTCACAGTGGGCATGGTTTGCTTTCACTGGGTTTAGTGTTTTCCTCTTCTTTGTAGCAGTACCAGGACCAGGTTCCTTTTCAAGAGTAAATAATATTCCTGTCTGAAGATTTGCCACAGCTGGGTATCAGTAGGTCTTGAAGGACGTATCAGTCTTGAAGGATGTTGGGATGTTTTTCACCAGTTGTCATTAAAAACAATGTTGCTATAACACTTGTGTTATAGGCTGTCTTTCCTATTGTTTTCAAGTCTCTAAGGCATATAAAATGCTAGGTCTTTCCTGTTTTTTTTTGCCAGGAATAGGCATGAAGGTTACAATGTATCTACATCCTCAGAAACACTTGTTATTTAAACTTGGGGTCAGGCTAAGTACAGGGGCCTCCTTGGGGTTCGGGGGTTCCCCATTGTGCATCTTCTGGAACTCATTGGCCAGGTTTGTCTAGGGCGGAGTTTCAGGTCTGGGGAGGAGCCACTGTCTGACGGAGAGCTGTCCTGTCCTGTCCTGTCCTCTCTTGTCCATTAGGGCTGAGTCCCAACTCTGCCAAGTGTGGCTGGGAAGCTGCCCGTTCAGCAGCCTGGCAGTCAGGGCCCTGTTCTCTGGGTTCTTCTGGCAGGACAAGGCCACGTGGTATCCTCGTGTGGGCGCTGTGGCAGCACTGCCCTGAGGACTGAGGACGGTACTGCTGGGGGCCAGCTGCCCCTGCCCCTTCCCTGAGGGTGCGCATCCTCCGTCCAGACTAAAATGACCGGCAGGTCCAATGTAAACTGATCACAGTCAGCACAGCTGTGATTCACACTGCCGACCAGGTCCCCTGCCAAGGATGGCACTGTGTGTGCAGACCATAGTAGTCCCTCTTCTGTGTACCCATCGGGGGCTGGCATGAGGGTGGGCTTTTCTGGGCTCCAGCAAAACTGTTTCCAGGCAGGAGTTGGGGTTGGGAATGCCCCTTAGGCAGCAGTTCCACACCCAGTGGCCCCCGGGGAGGGGTCCTGTCCCACTCACAGCTGGAGCCAGAGAAACCCACTCTGCACCCCGCCACACAGCCCAGCAGGCATAGACAAGGCCAAGCCACCTGCACTGTCTGCTCCAGGTGTTATGCTGTCCTTCCCTGGGATCTAAGGGGACACTGTGTCCTCCCTGGTCCCTTGAGCCTCAGGGGACTTTTCTGGCCATATCTTGCCCTGGTCCTGGGCACAGATGTTTACTCTGTGAGTCCCATGGGCTCCAAGGGGCTCCGGAATGGCCTTGTGTCAGGTGTAGCACATTTGTTCTGCATGCAAATGGGGAAACAGGCTAGAGGGATGTGCAGTGGTCACCCTGTTAGAGCCCTGTTAAGGGCACAGTGCCATGGGCCTGGGTGCTACCTCTGTGAATGACCCCAGAGCAGGCCTGGGATTCTCTTTAGTGCAGGGCCGAGTTCCTCGATGGTCCTGCATGATCATGGTGATGCCAGGGACATTCCCTGCTTATGTGTGTGGGTCCTCCGGGGCTGGGGGCTGGAGAGCCTCTGGGAGG